AGTTAAATAGTACTGGAATGGTGGTATTTGAATAAGTAAGGTTAACAACTTACAGTTAAATAGTACTGGAAAGGTGGTATTTGAATGAGTAAGTTTAACAAATTACAGTTAAATAGTACTGGAATGGTGGTATTTGAATGAGGAATGTTAACAACTTACAGTTAAATAGTACTGGAATGGTGGTATTTGAATGAGTAATGTTAACAACTTACAGTTAAATAGTACTGGAATGGTGGTATTTGAATGAGTAACGTTAACAACTTACAGTTAAATAGTACTGCAAAGGTGGTATTTGAATTAGTAAGGTTAACAACTTACAGTTAAATAGTACTAGAAGGGTGGTATTTAAATTAGTAACGTTAACAGCTTAGAGTTAAATAGTACTGGAATGGTGGTATTTGAATGAGTAAGGTTAACAGCTTACTGCTAAATAGTACTGGAATGGTGGTATTTGAATGAGTAAGGTTAACAACTTACAGTTAAATAGTACTGGAAGGGTGGTATTTGAATGAGTAAGGTTAACAGCTTACAGTTAAATAATACTGGAATGGTGGTATTTGAATGAGTAAGGTTAACAACCTACAGTTAAATAGTACTGGAAGGGTGGTATTTGAATTAGTAAGGTTAGCAGCTTACAGTTAAATAGTACTGGAATGGTGGTATTTGAATGAGTAAGGTTAACAGCTTACAGTTAAATAGTACTGGAATGGTGGTATTTGAATGAGTAAGGTTAACAACTTACAGTAAAATAGTACTGGAATGGTGGTATTTGAATGAGTTAGGTTAACAGCTTACTGCTAAATAGTACTGGAATGGTGGTATTTGAATGAGTAACGTTAAAAACTTACAGTTAAATAGTACTGGAATGGTGCTATTTAAATGAGTAAGGTTAACAACTTACAGTTAAACTGTACTCGATGGGTGGTATTTGAATGAGTATGGTTAACAACTTACAGTAAAATAGTACTGGAATGGTGGTGTTTGAATTAGTAAGGTTAACAACTTACAGTTAAATAGTACTGGAATGGTGATATTTGAATGAGTAAGGTTAACAACTTACAGTTAAATAGTATTGGAAAGGTGGTATTTAAATGAGTAAGGTTAACAGCTTACAGTTAAATGATAATAGAAGGGTGGTATTTGAATAAGTAAGGTTAACAACTTACAGTTAAATAGTACTGGAAAGGTGGTATTTGAATAAGTAAGGTTAACAACTTACAGTTAAATAGTACTGGAAGGGTGGTATTTGAATGAGTAAGGTTAACAACTTACAGTTAAATAGTACTGGAATGGTGGTATTTGAATGAGTATGGTTAACAACTTACAGTTAAATAGTACTGGAAAGGTGGTATTTAAATGAGTAAGGTTAACAGCTTACAGTTAAATAATACTAGAAGGGTGGTATTTGAATGAGTAACGTTAACAACTTACAGTTAAATAGGACTGGAATGGTGGTATTTGAATGAGTAAGGTGAACAACTTACAGTTAAATAGTACTAGAAGGGTGGTATTTGAATGAGTAAGGTTAACAGCTTACAGTTAAATAGTACTGGAATGGTGGTATTTGAATGAGAAAGGTAAACAACTTACAGTTAAATAGTACTGGAAGGGTGGTATTTGAATGAGTAAGGTTAGCAACTTACAGTTAAATAGTACTGGAATGGTGGTATTTGAATGAGTAAGGTTAACAGCTTACAATTAAATAGTACTGGAATGGTGGTATTTGAATGAGTAAGGTTAACAACTTACAGTTAAATAGTACTGGAAGGGTGGTATTTAAATGAGTATGGTTTACAGCTTACAGTTAAATAGTACTGGAAGGGTGGTATTTAAATTAGTAAGTTTAACAACTTACAGTTAAAAAGTACTTGAAGGGTAGTATTTAAATAAGTATGGTTTACAGCTTACAGTTAAATAGTACTGGAAGGGTGGTATTTAAATTAGTAAGGTTAACAACTTATAATTAAATAGTACTGGAAGGGTGGTATTTGAATGAGTAACGTTAACAACTTACAGTTAAATAGTACTGGAATGGTGGTATTTGAATTAGTAAGTTTAACAACTTACAGATAAATAGTACTGGAATGGTGGTATTTGAATTATTAAGGTTAACAACTTATAATTAAATAGTACTGGAAGGGTGATATTTGAATGGGTAACGTTAACAACTTACAGTTAAATAGTACTGGAATTGTGGTATTTGAATGAGTAAGTTTAACAACTTACAGTTAAATAGTACTTGAATGGTGGTATTTAAATTAGTAAGGTTAACAACTTATAATTTAATAGTATTGGAAGGGTGGTATTTGAATGAGTAACGTTAACAACTTACAGTTAAATAGTACTGGAATGGTTGTATTTGAATAAGTAAGGTTAACAACTTACAGTTAAATAGTACTGGAATGGTGGTATTTAAATAAGTAAGGTTAACAACTTATAATTAAATAGTACTGGAAGGGTGGTATTTGAATGAGTAACGTTAACAACTTACAGTTAAATAGTACTGGAATGGTGGTATTTGAATTAGTAAGTTTAACAACTTACAGTTAAATAGTACTGGAATGGTGGTATTTGAATAAGTGAGGTTAACAACTTACAGTTAAATAGTACTGGAAAGGTGGTATTTGAATGAGTTAGTTTAACAACTTACAGTTAAATAGTACTGGAATGGTGGTATTTGAATGAGGAATGTTAACAACTTACAGTTAAATAGTACTGGAATGGTGGTATTTGAATGAGTAATGTTAACAACTTACAGTTAAATAGTACTGGAATGGTGGTATTTGAATGAGTAACGTTAACAACTTACAGTTAAATAGTACTGGAATGGTGGTATTTGAATAAGTAAGGTTAACAACTTACAGTTAAATAGTACTGGAATGGTGGTATTTGAATGAGTAATGTTAACAACTTACAGTTAAATAGTACTGGAATGGTGGTATTTGAATGAGTAAGGTTAACAGCTTACTGCTAAATAGTACTGGAATGGTGGTATTTGAATGAGTAAGGTTAACAACTTACAGTTAAATAGTACTGGAAGGGTGGTATTTGAATGAGTAAGGTTAACAGCTTACAGTTAAATAATACTGGAATGGTGGTATTTGAATGAGTAAGGTTAACAACCTAGAGTTAAATAGTACTGGAAGGGTGGTATTTGAATTAGTAAGGTTAACAGCTTACAGTTAAATAGTACTGGAATGGTGGTATTTGAATGAGTAAGGTTAACAGCTTACAGTTAAATAGTACTGGAATGGTGGTATTTGAATGAGTAAGGTTAACAACTTACAGTTAAATAGTACTGGAATGGTGGTATTTGAATGAGTTAGGTTAACAGCTCACTGCTAAATAGTACTGGAATGGTGGTATTTGAATGAGAAACGTTAAAAACTTACAGTTAAATAGTACTGGAATGGTGGTATATAAATGAGTAAGGTTAACAACTTACAGTTAAACTGTACTCGATGGGTGGTATTTGAATGAGTATGGTTAACAACTTACAGTTAAATAGTACTGGAATGGTGGTATTTGAATGAGTAAGGTTAACAGCTTACAGTTAAATAGTACTGGAATGGTGGTATTTGAATGAGTAAGGTTAACAACTTACAGTTAAATAGTACTGGAATGGTGGTGTTTGAATTAGTAAGGTTAACAACTTACAGTTAAATAGTACTGGAATGGTGGTATTTGAATAAGTAAGGTTAACAACTTACAGTTAAATAGTACTGGAAGGGTGGTATTTGAATGAGTAAGGTTAACAACTTACAGTTAAATAGTACTGGAATGGTGGTATTTGAATAAGTAAGGTTAACAACTTACAGTTAAATAGTACTGGAATGGTGGTATTTGAATGAGTAAGGTTAACAACTTACAGTTAAATAGTACTGGAATGGTGGTATTTGAATGAGTAAGGTTAACAACTTACAGTTAAATAGTACTGGAATGGTGGTATTTGAATGAGTAAGGTTAACAACTTACAGTTAAATAGTATTGGAAGGGTGGTGTTTGAATTAGTAAAAAGAAGGCATTTAAGCAAAATGTGTTTGGTTGATTCAGAAGATTGACCACATTTACATTTGGCATTTGGGATAATTTTTAAATTATTTGTAAATAGGTCTTACCTAAATATCAAATCGCATCTTGTTTTATTTAGAACAATTCGGAAAGTTTCCGATGTACTGGCAATTTTTTCCAAACACTTTTTTTCTTAATGCTTAATCTGTCTTTCTTCATCTAACTTGTCTTATGATACTTCTCTCATATTCAATTATTACTGCGAAACAATTTTAGAATTTACTAAATACCCTCAATTTCTGCCACAGATATGTTATCCTTATATTTGGATATTTTTTATTTAGATCCCTAGTCTCTGCATCTCAATTAATAATATTCCAAAAATTCATGGATTATTAAAAGAAGTTATTGCCAAATAAAAAAAGAAGTTTTTTTGCCCGTCCACACACAAGTGCTTACGCGGGTCAAATGGTTAGTGTTGAATTGTTTTCCTGTAAAAATGCACTCTATTAAGTGATTCTGTCTTTTGCATCGTGTGCAAAGAATTAAAGCACATGACTCAATGAATTGTAAATGAATTAATCAACTAGTGCGTTGTTTCCTCGACTGCATTCGTGCTGCGGTATTCATGCAAAGGTCTGAAAACAACACATTAGTGGGTTAGATTATCCACAATGCAATGGGTCCTGGGCTTAAATCCTTTAACATTACTGCATATTTTAAAGATTTGAAAGTTGCACAATGCATTTAAATTCTTTGAATGAAATGGTTTGTTATACGAGCTTTTATTGATCATGACTTGAATTTTAAAAAGAATGGATCTTGTCAAACATATAAATAACACAGAAGATAAACTTATGTGGTAAACTCTGATTAACTTATGTAGTATTTTAGAGACAAAGGAGTATTCCACGTATTTTTCACAAATGTTCTACTTTTTGACCATCCCAGCTTGTAGATGTAATGATTACGTACATCCATTCTTTCAGGTGCATTCCTTATACCGTATTTGTTGACTTTGTTTTTTGCTGGGATGCCCATGTTTTTCTTGGAAACGTCCTGGGGTCAACTGACTGGTATTGGCGGATTGGGCATCTGGAAACTATGCCCATTGTTCAAAGGTAAGGTTGTCACAAATTAGACATTACTTTGATAGAAAAATTGAAGTGTCCCTTCGACGAGTAGAAGGTAAAGATGCTTTTAATATTCATGTTCGAATCCCAACTCTTCTGTGCGATTCTAATTTGCGACAATTTGGATATTACAATAGATGTGCCAACTTTTCGATATAAAAGTATGCAAGCATGTATTTTGTTAAAAACCATATTAAAAATTAGTACTTTGTTAAACACTTACATTTATCGAAATAATGAATATACATTTTAGGAGTTGGATATGCAGCCGTCATTATCGCCATGTGGCTTAACATTTACTACATCGTCGTCCTAGCCTGGGCGTTATTCTATCTGTTCAGTTCTTTCACCGCTGTCCTGCCTTGGTCAAATTGTAATAATTGGTGGAATACTGCAGATTGTGAATCGGAATATACAAAACACAATTGTTCGTCTATGGCAAATTCTACGTTTGATTATCTATATTCTGGTAACTACAACTTCATATATTGTTAATGATGATGGTTACTTATTCAAGATGGACTAAGCTTATTTGAAACATATACATAATTTAAGCTTTGACCTGACTTCCCTTGCAAATAGATTTTGAATTCTGCTATATAATATTGTGATTTTGTTCTCTGTTTGCAACTTTTATTCAAAAACGAGGATCTGCTACATACCCCGAATGATCAAAACAGTTTAAACACTGAAAGTCCATTTAAAATTGTCACAATAATACATTTCAGGAAATCCAAATCATACATCACTAGACAACCTGACTGTATACGGCCATGCAAACTCAAGCAGTATTGAGATATGTAGAAATCATACATCACCAGTAAGAGAATTTTGGGAGTAAGTTCATACATAATATGTATGATTGACATTACTTTATGATTGGCATTCAAATTAAAAAGTATTAATATGGTATTTTAAAGTATTTATCAACAACGCAGTAACTACCATTTTCTTGATCATAAAGGCGCAATGCTCTGCAACTGACGGGAGGTATAGGCGAACCTGGTGACATACGGTGGCAGTTAGCCCTGACACTTCTGCTCGCCTGGATCATGTGCTACTTCTGTATATGGAAAGGTGTGGAATGGACAGGAAAGGTAAGATTTAATTTTTTACGAAAATACGATTTTAATGTGTGTGAACGAGATAATCAACGTAAATCAAAGTAATTATAATTAACGATTAAAAACAACTGCAGAAATGATTTACGGACTGAATGATGCAAGAACTTAACTTGAAGTTTTCTAAATTTTCCGTTTAAATGCAAAAAGCTCTCGATTTGCAATGAACTTGTACAATTGAGATTTGAACTATACCAAACAATGCTTTAGAGAGGAATAGATTCAGATGAGATATTTTTTCAATCCCATGTTTTGTAGTTTAATAGTACGTGACCATGCTGGTATCCGGGACTACAGTTTTGTTCCAAGGTAAAAAAGGTAAATAGTAGATTGCAATAATATATAACTTTTTCATTCAAGGTTGTGTATTTTACTGCCCTCTTCCCGTATGTCTTGTTGATAATCTTGTTGATACGAGGTGTAACTTTGCCAGGAGCTCTCAATGGCATTATCTTCTACGTCTGGCCAGATATGAACAAACTATTGGAATCATCTGTAAGTATACCATCCAATGGATAGCATACATAAATTATACTACTTCAAATGTATAGTTACACCCCCCTCCATGAGTTTGGCAACTTAACCCTAACGCCCCCATTGGATTACGTGCTAAAGCCTATTTATGTTTGAATTTTTATTTGCATAGTCTATAAAGAAAAGACAACATATTTATTAGGGCTTGAAATATAAATTGACATCATTTCGAATACCTCCAATTTTTTCCAACAATTATAAAAGGTCGGAAATTGATGCAAACTTGATGAAGTTTTGAAAATCGACATCCCCATGTACACTAATCGGAACTGGGAAAGTCATATGACAGATTATCCATCTATCCGACTTCTCGCAAAAATACAAGTTGGGTAGGAAATAAAATTTGCAAACTTTGTCTAACAAATTTGTTTACATGGGATGCAATTTGCAAATATTCATCAAATTTGCTATGATGGAGTTGCCAAACTTGCCAAACTTATGGAGGGAGTGTACCTATATAGATGCATATCATTCAAATGCATATCATCCATTAACTATTATGTTCCAAATTTATATCATCCATTAACTATTATGTTCCAAATGTATATCACGCATTAAGTATTGTTCAAAATGTATATTACCCATTAGCTATAATGTTTCCATTGTACACAAACCATTATCTATTGTTCCCAATGCATATCACCGAGTAACTATTTTGTTCCAAATGTATATCATCCAACTATTATGTTCCAAATGTAAATCACGCATTAAGTATTGTTCAAAATGTATTTTACCCATTAACTATTATGTTCCCAATGTATGTCACCCATTAACTATTATGTTCCCAATGTATGTCACCCATTAACTATATGTTCCCGATGTATGTCACCCATTAACTATTATGTTCCCAATGTATGTCACACATTAACTATTATGTTCCCAATGTATGTCACCCATTAACTATTATGTTCCTAATGTATGTCACCCATTAACTATTATGTTCCCAATGTATGTCACCCATTAACTATTATGTTCCAAATGTATATCACCCATTAACTGTTATGTTCCCAATGTATGTCACCCATTAACTATTATGTTCCCAATGTATGTCACCCATTAACCATTATGTTCCCAATGTATGTCACCCATTAACTATTATGTTCCAAATGTATATCAATCATTAACTATTATGTTCCCAATGTATGTCACTCATTAACTATTATGTTCCCAATGTATGTCACCCATTAACTATTATGTTCCCAATGTATGTCACCCATTAACTATTATGTTCCCAATGTATGTCACCCATTAACTATTATGTTCCCAATGTATGTCACCCATTAACTATTATGTTCCAAATGTATATCACCCATTAACTATATTATTCCCAATGAATGTCACCCATTAACTATTATGTTCCAAATGTATATCATCCATTAAATATTATGTTCCAAATGTATATCACTCATTAACTATTAAGTTCCACATGTACCCATTAACTATTATGTCCACAAAATTAATGTACGTCACTTATTAACATTATGTCTCAAATGTATGCCAAAGACAAAATATAGATTCATGATCCAGTAAGTGCCTGAGTGCCTACCTTGAAACCTCCGAATACCTAATTTGAAGTTATTTGCAGGTTTGGATTGATGCAGCAACGCAAATATTTTTCTCATATGGACTCGGCCTTGGAGCATTGGTAGCGTTAGGGAGTTATAACCAGTATCACAATAACGTTTACAGGTACAATCATTTTAATGTAGTTTATATACTATTAAATTAATGTTCACCATTTGCTCGTTGTTAACCTACAGTGTATTAATTATGTTCCAATTGAAAAAGTATGTTCTCTATGCTTTTCCTGAGATTCTATGATCGTGTCATTTGTTAACTGCTGTACAAGTATGTTTTCAATGCTGTTCCAGAGATTCTATGATCGTGTCGTTTGTTAACTGCTGTACAAGTATGTTTTCAATGCTGTTCCAGAGATTCTATGATCGTGTCATTTGTTGACTGCTGTACAAGTATGTTTTCAATGCTGTTCCAGAGATTCTATGATCGTGTCATTTGTTAACTGCTGTACAAGTATGTTTTCAATGCTGTTCCAGAGATTCTATGATCGTGTCATTTGTTAACTGCTGTACAAGTATGTTTTCAATGCTGTTCCAGAGATTCTATGATCGTGTCATTTGTTAACTGCTGTACAAGTATGTTTTCAATGCTGTTCCAGAGATTCTATGATCGTGTCATTTGTTAACTGCTGTACAAGTATGTTTTCAATGCTGTTCCAGAGATTCTATGATGGTGTCGTTTGTTAATTGTTGTAAAGGCATGTTTTCAATGCTGTTAACGAGATTCTATGGTAGTTTCATTTGTTAATTGCTGTTCAAGTATGTTTTCAATAATGAGATTCTATGATAGTGTCGTTTGTTTTATTGCTGTTAAAGTATGTTTTCACTGTAAACGAGATTCTATGATATTTTTATTTGTTTATTGCTGTTCTGGTATGATCTCAATGCTGTTTAAGAGATTCCTTGATCGTGTCATTTGTTAATTGCTGTAAAAGTATGTTTTCAATGCTGTTAAAAAGATTCTATGATAGATTTATTTGTCAATTGCTGTTCAAGTATGTTCTCAATGCTGCTCCACATATTCTTTTATAGTATCATTTGTTAATTGCTTTCAAGTATGTTCTCAATGCTGTTCAAGAGATTCTGTGATGTAGTGTCATTTGTTAATTGCTGTAAAAGTATGATATCAATGCTGTTCGAGATATTCTATGAAAGTGTAATTTATTAATTGCTGTTCAAGTATGTATTAATAGTTTTCCAGAGATTGTTCACCGTTTGTTCACAATGCTGTTCCAGAGTTTCTATGGTAGCGTCGTTTGCTAATTGCTGTTCAAGTATTACCCAATGCTGTTTAAGAGATTCTATGATAGTGTGTTTTGTTAATTGCCGCTCGAATATGTCCTCAATGCTGTTCAAGAGATTCTTTGATACTGTCATTTTTTGTTAATTGCTATTCACGTGTGTTTTCGATGCTGTTCCAGAGATTCTACGATAGTGCTATTTATCAATTGCTGTTCAAGACTTCAAGTGTGTTTTCAATGATGTTCCAGAGATTCTATGATAGTTTCATTTGTCAATTGCTGTTCAAGTATGATCTCAATGCTGTTTAAGATATTCTAGGATAGTGTCATTTATTAATTGCTGTCCAAGTATGTTTTCAATGCTGTTTAAGAGATTCTATGATGGTGTCATTTGTTAATTGCTGTACAAGGATGATCTCAATGCTGTTCCAGAGATTCTATGATAATGTTTTTTTATATATGTGATTTATTTCATAGTAAAATAGAATTATTGCATGCACATGTTGCGGCTTTGCAATGGAGCATTATAAGCCACAATGATAGTGTCATTTATTAATTGCTGTCCAAGTATGTTTTCAATGCTGTTTAAGAGATTCTATGATAGTGTCGTTTGTTAATTACTTTTCAAGTATGTTCTAAATGCTGTTCCAGAGATTCTATGATAGTGTCATTTGTTAATTGCTGTACAAGTATGTTCTAAATGCTGTTCCAGAGATTCTATGATAGTGTCATTTGTTAATTGCTGTACAAGTATGTTCGCTGGCTTTGTCATCTTTTCCGTCATTGGCTTTATGGCTCATGAACAGGGAAAACGAGTGGAAGATGTTGCAGCATCGGGTAAGTCACTACGATTGCTATGACGTTCTGAGTATTACATACATGATCATACTTTGGCGGGACTGATTGTAAAAACAGTGATTGTAAAAACAGATTTGTCTATAGTTGCAATTAGGTATACCAGCCTATCATCGTCACCAGATGACATGTTATATAGAATATGTGATGTCATCCAACAGGACCTGGTTTGACGTTTTTGGCCTACCCTTCGGCGATTGTCCAACTTCCTATCTCACCGTTCTGGGCAATACTCTTTTTCCTTATGCTGACCTTCGTGGGCTTGGACAGTCAGGTAAGATGGGTCATAACCTTCTCTACTAAAATACACCTTAAATTATTTTGATCCAACGAAACTGTTAAAGTTTGAGAGAATTTTCAAAATCTGCCCTCTAGGTTTCGCCCACTGCTGACTCATAAAATAAATTACTAAAACAAAGCGCGTTGACTTTGTTGAACAGAAAGGAACCTCTACTTTCCTCCCAAAAATCCTCCAATCATATGATGGATTCAATTCGTCTGTACAACTAGGAATTAAATGTGAATTTCACTGTTTTTATATGTTGCTCACATAATTGGATTATACTAACGTACGATACGTTTTAAAATAGTTCTGCACAATGGAAGGTTTCATAACGGCTTGCGTCGATGAGTGGCCGCATCTTCTAAGACGTCGTAAGGAACTCTTCATAGCTGTTGTGTGTGGGCTATCTTATCTAGTAGGACTTTCTATGGTTTCACAGGTACGTTAATATTATGTGCAGTAATCGTAATCGTAGACTTCATTTCTTTCTAGTAAGAAACTTCTATTAAGCTTGATAGTAGAACGCGCGGAGTAAGGTACAACACGAGGGTGATGGAATGGGAGCAAACCGATGTTTTCATCGTTTCAGAAAGATCTAGTTTAGTTTCTAGATATTGTTACAGACACAGACATTTACATATAAAAATATCTTGAAACTAAACCGGATCTTTCTGAAACGACGAAAACATAGTTTGCTCAAATTGCATCACATTCGTGTTGTACCTTACCTCGCGCGTTCAACTGTCACGCCTAATATGGTACAGTCCCTGTGATCGAGACGGATCGATCGTCGTGAAGTTCTCCCACAGTGAAAAACAAACACGCGAAGCAATTGAGCGCAATATCACTTCCGAAAATAAGTAATCGAAATTAATTAGAATTAGATAAGTTAATTATTGTGACATTAAATCATGTATTTTCATTTATTGTTTATTCGTTAAAATCACATTGTTAGTTTGAATGTTTTTATTTTAAGGGAGGACTTTTTGTGTTCAAAATATTCGACTATTACTCTGCAAGTGGATGGTGTCTGTTAATACTGATATTCTTTGAATGTATCGCTATATCTTGGGCGTATGGTAAGCTGCTAAACTTGTTATTATAGGTCAATAAACAATGGTAAATATAAGTTATATGCTATAAGTGTCAAAACAGTAATCAATCATTTATATTTGTTGAATCTGGTTTATATCATCCCAGTCCATATGATCCAATTCATTCCAAATACACTTCATAACTGTGTACTGTAGTTTAGTAATACAGCGGTTAGGGCTGTGTATGCACTGTTGGTATTACTTTGCTGCAGTAATGTGCAATAGCGTTTCCGTTTTTGAGAAAATTAAAGTCAATATAATTATAGATATGTCACCCTTAGATTCTTTTATATAAGAAATGGAGGAACTTTGTTAAACGTATGATTTATTTCTCCTCTAAAACTGCACCAATTGCAATTTTACTGAGCAAAGGCCTAGTTCAGTCAATCGTTTATTTCACAGTAAATATCGGGTGTCCCAAAAAGTGATTTTCGGGTGTCCCAAAAAGAATTTCTCCGCAATAGATTAGCCGAATTTATTGAAATTCCTATAAAGTAACCTAAGAATATCATTAGGCACAACTATGAAGGAGATTGGTTACTCATAATTAAGTGATGACAAATTCAAATGAAAATGACAAATGCGTTTTTTCAAAGAATCCGGCTTATATATTGCTGAGAAAATACTTGCCAAAAGTGTCTCGCATTTTGGGACACCCGATATATCAATGCATTTCACAACTTCAACGCTTTAAATGTTTGAAAGCACCAATTTCCTATACATAGACGATTCAAACTTGCCACTGCGACTTTTTCGGAAATCTTTATTCAGAAGATTATGGGAATATGTTGATTGCTGCATACATTTTATAAAATGAATGGCATTGACAAAGTGTTTGCATATTTGGTTTAGTGAGAAACTCGTGTGTCGATGATCCACAATTATTAAACATATTTAACAGCAGTGAAGAAGGAACATGTCAGAACTTGGCAATTTCACCAGCCACCGAGCTCCCAAGCGAAAAAATGATGGATTTTGGTTTCTTATCATATCAAAACTGCTCTAGAAGTCATTTAAAAACCCTAAGCTCATTACATTGATGATCGGGGGAAAAATTATAACTACACATTTCAACAAGTTAACACAGTGACCTCTCGAAACAGACTGCCCTCTTTCCGGAGAACATATAATTATCATCAGTAACACCGCTGCCACCATATGAACGAACGATTACCTTAGCGTGTTGTTCTTGTCTCCTTGTTGTTGAGATGTTTCTTTCCTTGTATTTCTTTTGTTTGTAATTTGTAAAACTAATCTTTGACTGATTTATAAACTGAAACCACTATAATGTCTTCACACATTAATAACTTGGGCTCAACTTTTGCGTATACTTTCAAAACTCAGATAAACTTTAAAACAACTTGGTAATTTAGCCCTTCTCTTCTCATTTATATAACACAACAAAAACTATGAAAATATGTCGTCTGATATTAACATAACTGGATTTGTGTTGATCACACTGATCCACTCCACAATTAGTTTCAGATGACTAGCTCACCTAGATTATTTATGAGGTTACAAAATGTGTCGTCTATTCCTTTGCTGGCACAACTGGATCTTACACAAATGACACCCACCTTTTGTAACATAATTTTGAAAATAAGTTATAATCATTTTATCAATGGCAACTACATTATTTTGTGTTTAATCAAATGGACTTCATTTCACTATAAGTACAAGCCAAAATCATTTTTGTGTAGAATCCATGTGTGTCTGCAAAGGAATGGACAACATTTAGAGCAAATGTTGTAACGTTCATAAAAATTGACCTACTTGAGCTACACATCTGAAATTTCCCGAGGTGCTTTCGCATTATGTCTACGTTATATGTGTCAAAGGACAAGCCTATATGTTTATAGATAAACAAGTTATGCAACGTGAGGTGGGTGTCATTTTTTGTGTCACCCTGTATATTGGATATTTGGCCAAGTTGAATTTTGTTGTCAAGATCATCCGTATGTTTATCATGCTACCAGATTTGATCTTCCAAAGCAAACATTGGACATTGCTGGGCCAAGTTAAAGTTTGTTATCAAAATCATCCGTATATTAATCATTCTACCAGACTGATCTTAAAGGCAAACATTGGACATTTGGCCACGTTGAAGTTTGTTGTCAAGATCATCAGTATGTTAATCATACTACAAGATTGATCTTCCAAGGCAAACATTGGACATTTGGCCAAGTTGAAGTTTGTTATCAAAACAATTAGTAGTAGTATCTACCAGACTGATCTTAAATGGCATACATTGGACATTTGGCCAAGTTGAAGTTTGTTGTCAAGATCATCAGTATGTTAATCATGCTACAAGATTGATCTTCCAAGGCAAACATAGGACATTTGGCCAAGTTGAAGTTTGTTATCAAGATCTGGTGAAGGACACATAAGCATCAAATTGAAAGAAGATCTTAAAAAGGAGGCCTGAGCTTGAACTTGCGAACCAGGGAGAGCATCAAACATTGGGTTGTTAAATCCGTTAACATGATACATCTCCCTAAAGCCAATGCAGAATTTAGTGAACTATGTTCAGTAAATTGAAATTATACTTTAGTAAAGAAAGAAATATGCATTTAAGAAATGATTCACTTTTGGACAACCCTGTATCTGCTACGTTATGTATATATCAGGCGTTCACTTTTACTTCAGGTGTTAATCGATACTATGACGACTTGAAGGATATGTTCGGGTTCTATCCAAATATATACTGGAAGATTTGCTGGACAGTCATCACTCCAATTATTTGCTTTGTGAGTTGATGCCTTCTGAATCTATTATATTATAAACCTACAGGCTTACTAGTTGAATCATATTGCTTTTCACAGTCACAACTATATAAATGTATACAAAGAAAAATATACTGAGAAAATAAATATCCATTCATTTATCTGTTTTTTTGCAAGTTGAACACTCGATAAAGGTAGATGATTGACTCAAAAGTTACATAGTACAATTTCAAATGACAGAATGTAACGTACTCATCACATATAACAATTTGCTTTTCCAGGGCGTATTTCTCTTTAGTTGTGTGTCATTCAACAGACTTATACTAAAGATGCCGAGTGGCAAGGGTGAGTATTGCTAAGTCATTCTATTACATAACTCCTATATATCTTAATGTAAAAGTAAAAGTCTATGACATAACTTCTATATATCCTAATTAGATGGAGCAATTCTATTGCTAAATCTTTCTATGACATAACTCCCATGTATCTTAGATAGAGCAGTTCCATTGAGCATATGATCTGGATTTCTATTTCGTGTGTTTTAGATTACTTGTACCCTGTATGGGGGGATGCAATAGGCTTTGTAATGGCCCTGTCCTCTATCATAGTCATCCCAATATATGCCATCTACAAGATCGCCATAACACCAGGAACAATCCAACATGTAGGGTTTCTTCTAATAATTTTAAGTAATGGAAAACATGTAGGATCTATTCAACATTTAGTCTATTCGAAATCTTAGATTGTTGAAATAAACTGGGTATGTTTCTTGACCGGTTTATATTTAGTTTACTAATTTGTAACTAGTTTTCAAAGAGTGATTTTTAGTAGCAATACATGTAATTGAAAGTCAAACAATAATAGTTTAGTTATGATAACGTAATATGACATAAGAAACTAAACAGATATCTTCATTTTAGCGTCTGAGAGTACTTCTACGAGCGAACATCAGATTTCGACGAGAGAATGGGACAGGCCCGCCATCTTATACCCATGTAAATGACAGCAAACTACCTGTTAATGAGGCAACACCTTTATGAGGTGAAGACAAAGAGACAACTTGTGTCAAAAGGATATGTACATAACTTGCTATTGATTCAACTGGAAGTAAAATCATTAGATTCTGTAAAAGTCAAATATGTCAAAAACTTTCAAGTGTGTTCATGACTTGTGGTTTATAGAAGTTTTTGATTTTCAATTTGTAAAAGGGAGGCCAATGGTATGACATGTTCTGTTTTACATTTAAGTGATGATATCAGAACAGTACATAGAAAAGCTGGTCTCACCGTTAGTTACATTTATATTGTGTCTGGTTATGGTTATGACAAATGCTATGACATGGTTTGGTATGGTACGATAACATAACTATTATGACTTACAATGTCAGTCCAGACGGAGAACATCACATAAAATTTGATTGAATCCTACCTGCAAATGGGATTATTCCTACAAACTTAACCTACTTCAATGAGGTTCCATTTCTAGTTTCAAGTCGCATTGTGACTAATGTCACAAAAAACCTTTGGAAATGTTGTCCTCGTTTGAATTGGTATTTACCTAAGCACAATTGGGTATATTGTCTAAAAAACCGACTTACATGTAGGTCACTAACATATACATGTTTACGAACCTTAAGATATTGCAATATTACTGACGGCCTTAATATCACCACATTAAGAAATATATTAACCTTATTTAAACATATCTGAACGCACAGAATCTCAAATACGAGTAGCACTATCATTTGCAAATGTGTAAATTTCTCTTTGTATAGAATAGAGATGTATATGTGTATTATAGATGATATCTTGAAATTGTACTACAATCTAGATGGAACTGAATGTTTTATTAGGCTAATTTATCATAGTTTGCAGTTGCGTATACCAAAATACAAGTATGTGAAACCCATAAGTCAATTGATTAAAGGCATATAGTAACTATAACATTTAAGGAACATTTTTACTCATTTATAGTAAAACCCTCAGAAAACAATCTTGGAATAAATTTCTCAATTATTATGGAATCTTTATAAACAATTACTGAAAGGAAGCATTCTAAAATTCCATGTTACGCAATATGTTACATATACCCACCAACTTTGATATGTTTGTGTTCTTTGGGTATTTATATGCCTTATTTGCTGGACATTTGCTTTATAGGACCATGGGAGGTATCGCAGCAGATTTTAGACAGTCATTTGTTGACTATTTCCGGAAGATTTAAAAGATGCATATGTTAGGCCAATGTATTATCTAAAGGAAAAGTATTCATAGAGATGATAAAATGATTTTGACTTTGAGACAGGAAAGATGAAAAAACCCACGACATCTTTTTTCAAAAGTGTTTTCCTGATTTTCAGCCGCTTCCACTCCTGTTTTTCAAAGTGTGATGCTTCAATAAGATGCATTTGCAAACATAGTTTACCTCTTAAAAGGAAAATAGGATTCAATTGGGATGAAGTGGAAAACAATTTTTCCATGTTATTTTCCCATAGGGAAAACTCATGCGATCCATCGTTTTCAGCCTAATTTTGGTCACCCAGAATCGATATATTTAGAATCCCTGCTTGAATCATATTGTCCTTTTAGGAGGTTGTCTGTGTCTCCAATATGCAACATATTGATGCATAAAAAACTGGAAAAACAAGAGTGGAAGGGGTTATAAATCAGGACATTTCCGGAAAAAATGTTGGCGGGGTGTTTGCACCTCCCCTGTCTCAAAGTCCAAATTACTTTATCATCTATATAAGTGCTTTTCCTGGAGTTAATGGATTGGCTTACCATATGCACAAGTTCAAATCCTTGGAAAAACAGCCAAAATCAAACATGTGACTGTCTGAAACCTGTTGCGATACCTTCCGTGATTCTTTGTATCATTGGGAATTATTCCGCCAAAAGTAGTACAAAGTGGCCCATTTACCTTTTGATTACATCTAAAGACATACACTCCCCTCCATAAGTTTGGCAACCTTTTTTCCCCATTGAACTACGTGTTAAAGCCTCTTTACGTTTGAATTTTTATTTACTTAACCGGCCATGAAATAACTTATAATATTGATGGAAACGTAGCTTTCCAATACCTCCAAATTTTCTCAATTTTTTTCCTCAATTACAATAGGTCGACAATTGATGATAAATTTGATGAATTTTCGAAAATCGTCATTCCCATGTAATCCAATGGAAAATGGAGGGTTCGGGGCAAATCAGAAATCAGGATATCTTTTCAGTAAAACATTCAGCAAAAATATTTTTATATAGAAAATTGAATTGTCTAACTTTTTTTAACACTAAGTGTTTAGTTTATTTGATGAATATTAAAGTTACAGCGCTTCAAACTCATGTTTGAAAATAATTTTTCGCCTCTTGTGTTATTTCAATGGGAGAGGTTCTTTGAAAAACAATTTTGACTTTAAAGCCCTATAACTTTATTGAACCTGAAGAAACATATCAATTTTTTGTTAAATAAAGTTAGCAAATTCAATTGCCTGCCTAACTCGTATTTTTTGCAAGGACTCGGATGGATGGATATTCTGTCATATGATTTGCGGCAAACCTACCATTTCCCATTGGTTAACATGGGATTGTCGATTTTCAAAAATTCATCAAATTCATCATCAATTTTCGACCTATTGTAATTGAGGAAAAAAATTGAGAAAAATTGGAGGTATTGGAATTAAAGTCAAATTACGTTTCCATCAATAGAATAAGTATTTTCATTGCAGGTTAAGTAAATAAAAATTCAAAGGTTAAGAGGCTTTAACACGTAGTTCAATGGGGGAAAAAAGGTTGCCAAACTTATGGAGGGGAGTGTAGTTCCCCTTTACAGTGTATTATTATCTCATGGAAATTGATGTAACAGTGCAAAAATCTTTGTTCCGTGGTAAAAAAGCTATCAAGCCGGAGAGCAGATTTAGCTCTGTAGTTCTGCGGTCTGAAATAATGACATTGATCTGGCAAAATATACTCAATATATTGGATGCGGGTAGAAATAATCTTGATTTACTTCATTAAATATTTAAAATCTAGTTCAAAGGACATCATATTTGAAGTGTACATGAACATTGCCCCTATAAATGTGGTTTAAAAAAGTATTTACAAAACTACAGTAGTTATACTTTGGCCAAGCCTAGCAAAACATTATAGGGTCAAGCTTTTTATACAGATACGACGTCAGATACTGTACATCGCGGCATTTTACTGCATTTTTACATGCGTTCTTACTTTTAAAACCGCAATATCTCGACAGCAAAATCATATTTTTCTACAATTTTTCGTCATCAGTTGAACACGTATGTCCATGAAATATTTTGCCTATCAGAATTCCAAATAACTGATTTGTGACTTTTTAAATGCGAATCACGCAAGCCGTATTATGCGACTTTATATGCTAAAACCGGGTGTGGACTGTAACATTTTGAAGAAAAATGATTTCAATTTTAAACGAAAAATGAAGATAACTTTTTCATTTCTTAACGGATCTTTCTCAAACTTTCACAATATTTAAATTCACCATTTTGAAAAAGACAAACAGATTCTGGTTGATGACGTCATAATATAACAATGCTAACTTAACGCTTATATTTATGCAAAAAAAGTGTGGACAGGCAGAATTTCGTACCAACAAGATATATATTTTGATCAATTAAACATAAATCGTTTGAAAAGTGAATTATTATTTTTTGATTCCTGAAAGGCATATCATATTCTATATTTTTATCAAAAAACTATATCATTTCGATTGAAATTCAGTCTGTAAGAAGCATAAATTGAAAGAAATATGAAGTGAAGCCATGTGAAAAATTCACAAAATTACGTTTCATTTTTTGAGTTCAAATATTTCTAATTAAGGGATAAACATTCAAAACTTTTCAATGTTTCAGCATGTTCTTTTAAATATATCCCTTACTACATACAATTAATTTCATTTAATTTGATCCAGTATATATTGAGATAGACATCATTTTATCACCGCAACCCCAAGTGAAGCCTTTACAAAATAAGACGTTATGCCGTTAGCGTATTATATGTTCTCCTTTATTATTCATTGCTTCAAATAAATAAAACTAAATATTCGAGTTAAAATCAATTACAAATAATGCATTTAACAATCCTTAATATCTTCCCGTCTGTGTATATCAGTTGAATATGACAAGGGGCACTTTGAAAGTGTCTAGAAAGACGGTGCGACAACGAGAGCGCGGGGCCGAAAAGCGCGACAAAGAAGAAAACGGGTAGGGTTTGAAATGTCTACTTTCTGGTGATTCTAATTCTGTATATCGTGATACAACCTTTTTGAATATAGAATTGTATTGAAGCACACATTAATCTGAACAAAACTTGAAGTTTTAAAGAAGATTCCACGAATATTAAAACTTCTGCAATTACTTGGAGGAGCATTGCGCATATTTATCGCGTAAATCTTTGCATTTTGTCGGTAAAATGGACAATTACAATGTTACGCCGTGATGTACAGTATCTGACGTCGTATCACAGGAAACCAAAATAAAGCTTCTAGTATCCATAATCAGAACAATATTCATAGCGAAAAACCTACCATCGACCTCATGTTTTGGTATATTATATATATATATATGTTTTGGGGTGTTGGGGTGTTCTAGATAATATCAAAATTTAAGAAATATCTTAGCGAGATTTTGCGAGATGACTTGACTTCAGCGATATTTGTTTACGAATGAGCACATTTTAAGTTAATTCGACAATCTTCATGACATTTGAGATATGAATGTTGATTTGTATTACGATTTTGTGTCGTATAGACGCATCTAAGAATACCCAAGAAACATTAGTATAAAAAGTAGAATTATGGTTTTGAAAAATGGGTTTCCATAAAAAAGAAGGATTAATATGTTTATAGTCGAAATCTTGAATAATCTTTCAATAATACAAAAAGATGAGGACCAATAAAAAGACGTAATTATATGTAGGCCCTTAACTAGCTTATGGCCAGGGGAAAAATTCCTGGTTAGGGTTTAGATAAAGACAATTTTGGCCAAAAATCACCTGAAAAGTGCTTAAAACTGAAAAACTGCATGATTTTGGCTAGGAGGCTCGCTTTATCCCCCGCACACGGGCCTGATATGATACAACTGTAAATGTATGCGTCCATATGTACTTTTGATATTGCTTTCGTGAAGTGTTAGTCTTAGTAATCAACTAAACCGAAGTGTTAAACATACACCAAAATGAAGATGAGGAAGCCGTGCCATATATGGCAATGAATCATTGGATGTTAATAGTCTCACTCAGTTTTAACAAATACATGTTGCGTGTCTTCATTTTTGGTTTATATTGTCAGGTGCTACTTATAGCTAAAGTGAATGTATAGTTAAAAGTTCATGGACATTGGAACCTAGTTTATGATCATGAAGATGGATTGATTCATGTGAAACCAGTAAAACCAGTGTTAATTGCAATAAGGTTTTGAATTAATCAAAAATAGCACATATTGTAAACTGTACATCTAGCACCTACCGAATGGTAGTACATAAACAAAGTATGGCATCCATCGATGCATAAATACATTAAACTGAAGAATATATGGATAAGAGAAGCCGTCAAAAGGTCGATGCCTTACAAGGAACTAATGAATCTTGGGGTTGTTTTTGGAAGGGATACTTTTCAAATCGATAAAAACAACACTTCGAAACCCAAAACCTACCTTCAATTTGTGCAGCATTTATATTTTTATTGTATGTTATAGTTAAGAAGTTATAGTTATGTCGTTAAGAAGTTGATACATTTAAAATAACGAGTATTTAGTGTTTTCATGTTCCAGTGACTCCTTGAGATATTTTTAATGGGTGAGTGAACAGAAATCCCATTTCATAATTACCCCCCTATCACACCAAACTAGTTCTTACCCGTTCTTGCCAGTCCTACGAAAACGTCGTAAAACGGGCTCAATCTGGCTGTGGTCGGGAAATATGTCTCGAATAATTAGCTTCTTCGTTCTTAAACAGTCTTCAATACGTCCAACTCGTTCGCAGTTCGTCCAGGTCGCACCACGTCGATGTGCAACGTCGTATAACGCGTCCCTTAGTCTAGAAGGTCAACATGACCTGATTACAGAACGGTATGGTCGCCATCGAATTTTGAATCGATTCAAAATTCTAAAATCTTATTCCCGTCTGAGAACGTTCATAAAGTTCGTAAATAGACCTTAGAAAGTTGCAGCTACGTTCATTCCGTTCGCACACAGTTTAAAACCAGTTTTGAAGAACGCAGTGGCAACTT